TATGTTTCTTTCAGGTAAATCCTAGCTCCCCTTTTAGCATACTGGCTGAAGGTGGAGTTTCGTGCTCTTTGTAACCTAGAATATCCAATATTCATTTCCATAATATACATGTAAGTCTGTTTTATAGCACTAGGTAAGAGAAATATTCAATATCCACAGTACTTCAGATAAACACTTAACCCTTTTTAAAAACATTCCAGTTTCATTTTCTTTTTTCCACACTTTGACTATCTCCTCATTCCTATACATATGGCCTTGGACCTCTGGCAGAGTGGAACCAGAAGACACTGGCACCCTATCAAGCTTTTGCCCTAAGCTACTTCAGATGAGGCTTTTCTCTCTTCAACTGCAACATAACATCTCTTACTTTCTGTCATGGATAGAATTGTGTGCACCCACACCCAAAATTTGAGTCAACTTGGCTGGGCCATGATTCCCAATGGTTTATTGATGAAATGCAGCAGATGTAACATACCCCATGATATGATCTGATATGGTAAACCTGTCAGATGTAAAAAGATTAAGACTAAGGGTGGGCTGAAACACCCTTAAACCTATCACAGCCCTGATCTGATCTAAGGGGAGCTTCCCTTGGGCATGGCCTGCAACACCTTTTATCTTATAATGGATAAGAGGAAAGAGGAGGGAGCAGAGAAGAACCTACTACCATGAAGAAAGAGGAGCCAGGAGCAGAGTGCATCCTTTGGACCCAGGGTCCCTGAGCTGGGATCCTCCTAGGAACAAGAGACACAGAGAGAGAAAGTCTTCCCCTAAAGCCAGCACTCTGAACTCAGACTTACAGCCTCCTAAACTGTAAGAGAATGAATTCCTGTTTGTTAAAGCCATCCACTTGTGGTATTTCTATGTAGCAGCACTAGAGAACAAAGACACTTTCCTTTCAACCACTACAGATAACAACCAAAGGAACCAAAAATCAAAGGTTTCACCTCCCAGGTCCTTTCTTTCTTTCTCTTACAAAGTCCCATGCTTCCATGAATCTGAAGCCCTTGCAATGAATCTTGCTTCTAACACCAACTGCAAAAAGGGTGTGGGGAGGTGTCTTCTGACTTTCTCTAATTTCACAAGGGAGGAAGATCTAGAACAACACAACAGCTCAAGACTGATTCCAATGAGGCAGAGATCATACATGCCACCACCCTCCAACCTTTTACCAATTCTGACATCCACTGTCCTTCCAATGACACTCTCTACTTCTGTGCTGGGTTCAATAATTCATTGCAATGGTCACACAGAACTCACAGACAATATTCACAATCATGGGGTTTATTAGGGAAGGTGCTCTTGTAGGTTAGTGGTTAAAGCATTAGGCTGCTAACCAGCTGTTCCTTGGGAGAAAGGTGAGGCAATCTGCTTCTGTAAAGACTTACAACCCTGGAAACTCTATGGATCAGTTCTACTCTGTCCTATAGGGTCACTGAGTCAGAATCAATGGGAGTAGTCCCCCCCCCCCCCGCCCTTGGTAACAAATTACAATTCAGGATCAGAAATGACTCAGGATGCAGTTCTTCAATCAGTACAGCTTTTCAGCCATGCCGCAGGTCGGCCTCTCTCTCTAGCTCTTGGTCCCGTGGCCCCTTAGGCCTCTTGGGCCAGCTCAGTCTCTGCCCTGCTCTGCTCGGGCAAGTGATGCTTGAGCAAAGCTCTTTAGCCCCACCAATAAGTGCCCAGAGGCACTTGCTCACTCAGTAAGCCTTGGCCCTGAGGCACTCAGCTCTCTCACTCTGTGGGCAGGGAAGCCCACTGCACTACCTCCTGCCAATCTTCTGTTCTGCTGCCTCTGCTGCTGTCATTTCTCACCATTGCTTCTCGTCATCTCTGTCTCTGGTATTACAGCTCTCTGTCTCCTGAGTCTAGGGGGTTCCCAGTGCAGGAACCCCAAGTCCAAATGACATGCTCCTCCCCATCTCTTCTCCTTGGGAGTACTCAGGTCTCCGTAGTCCCCATGCTCTGGAATTGTCTCTCTCTCTCTCTCTCTCTCTCTCTGATGTGGATTGGGTGAAAGTTTACAAAACAAAATCATTTTCCATTTAACAATTTATACACATTCATTCCATAACATTTGTTGCAGTTCCCTTAATGTAACAACACTCTTCCCACTTCTTCCCTGGGTCTCCTGTTTCTGTTGGTCCTTCTTTACTGCCCCTTCCTGCATTCAGAGCTTTGCTTTTGGGCAAATGCTGCCCTTTGGCCTCATATGGTTGAATATTCTGAAGAGTGTGCTCCTCATGAGTGCTATTTTTTACTTTATAGGACCGTCTGTTGTTTGGTACAAGGTGATCGCCAGGGGTGGGTTCAATTCCAGGTGTGAAGGATGTATAAGGGCCACCGTCCTGAGGTTCCACCAGTTTTGAGTCTGGTCTTTTTTATGATTTTTAATTTTAAGCCTAGTGGGTTGGCAAAACTGACCAATTCCTTCATTTGGGTTCCATACACCTTATTTGCATGGTCTTACCGCTGCAGGTTCCTTGCACTTTATTGGACAGTAAACGGTCCAATCCTGTTCATGAGCCACAACACCTTAATTGCATAGTTCCACTCAATAATTTGGTGGGTGTTACAAGACCATGTCTAGGAAGGTCATATAAAAGTAATCCACCACATTGCAATGTGGTTGGACAGAATAAATGAAACAGTATACTAACCAGCTTATGTTAAATGCTAAACAAATGTTAGCTATTACCAGCAACAGTAGCAGCATTTTTATCTCTGTATCCTTAGCCCTGAGCAGAGGGGGCTGAATACATAATTGGTACCAGATAATTCTTTGGTGAATCAGTGGATAGCTAGACAGGCAGCCAAACAGGCAGACAGGAAAATGGAGGGGCAGAAAGAAAGAGAGAGATAGGTGTATATGTGGATAGACAGATGTATGGATGGGTAAGACTGTGTTTCTAAAATATGAGACAATCTTTGCTAGTCTTCCATGGCAGTTGGGGCAGGAGTGAGGGTGAGAAGGCAGAAAAACCCTGAAATAAAACCTGTATTGTACACCAACCACACATCAGTGCTCAGCAAACCATCAGTGGTTTAATTTGAACCTCACAAGAGGAAGGTATTATTGCAGAATGAGGAAGTGGCTACAGTGGCTTCACTAAGGTTGGTGTCAGCCAGTCCACTCCCCTCCTCTGTAGATCTTCTCCCATACCAGACCATCTGGTTAGCAGTCAAATGCCTTAGGTACTGCACCACCAGAGCTCCTGCAGAATCCTTAGTAATATTTGTTATCAATTTTAATCACAGAATAATATGTGATAAATATAGTTGGAAATTGCTCAAATGTAATATGTCTTAGATTACATGAATACTAATGAAAAAATTGTTTTGTAAAACCTTTGTACATTGAATTGCAACATTTAGACACTACACCACCAGAGCTCCCAGTAGCTGAGTAGAAGCCTTTCTCTACTTTTCTCCTTCTTTTCCTTTGATTACTACCTCATTCTCAAAAAAAGTTATTAATATAGGTTCACAAGTACTACTTACCATAATACTCAAACTCAAACTCACTGCCATGAAGTCGATTCCAATTCATAGCAACTCCCATTGGGTTTCCGAGGCAGTAAATCTTTATGGGAGCTCTGGTGGCATAGTGCCTAAGGCATTTGACTGTTAACCAGAAGGCTGCTGGTTCAAACCCACCAGCTACTCCTCAGAAGGAAAACTGGGCAATCTACTTCTATAGAGATTGTTGTTGTTGTTGTTGTTATGTGCCGAGAGATACCGCCTCTCAAACCCAAGGAGGGGTTGCTATGAGTCGGAACGGACTCGATGGCAGTGAGTTTAAATCTTTATGGAAGTAGATGTCCCCTCTTCCTTCCACGGAGTGGCTGGTGAGTTTACACCGCGAACCTTTTGGTTAGCAGTCAAATCCCTTAGGCATTGTGCCACCAGAGTTCCTTACTTATCACAATATTGTAGCTAAAACACCAGAAAATTTGACAGAGTGATCAGCTATAAAAACATGGGCAGCAACGGAAATGATAGTGCATGCTTGTATTTTGTGCAGACAAAACTGTGTGATTCAAAGTGTATTGGGTAATAATGACAGCTCTAACGGGAGTGCATTAGAATACTGAAAAATACCATGGACTGCCAGAAGAAAGAACAAATCTGTCCTGGAAAAAGTACGTCAGGAGTGCTCACTGGAAGAATGGCCAGACCACGTTTCAGCAGGAGCCAGTCCCTGGAGAAGGATATCACGCTAGTGAAGGGTCAGAGAAAAAGGGGAAGGCCCTCAACAAGATGGGTTGACACAGTGGCTCAAGCATAGCAAGGACTGTGAGGATGGAGCAGAACCAGGCAGTGCTTCGTTCTGTTGTTCATAGCATTACTGTGAGTCAGAGCTGAATCAACGGCACCAACCAGCAACAGTGAGTTTGACAGTTTCCTTGATACACGGGGAGGAGGAAGGGCTTGCTCTAGGCCTTGTCTGCCTTCAGTCTTAGGGGTGGAAATTTCTAGAAAGCAGGGTGTCTCAGCAGGAAGGGCTGCACCACCAAGACCCTGTATAAACTGGTCAGCTCAGAGCTTGACTTTGGGAAATAAAAGGACAGAGGAGAGGTTGATCTGGGCAAAGGAGCTTGGGGTCTTCCTATGGGGGCCGACTGTGGGCTCCCCTGGTGCCCTTCCTTCTCCAGCTTCTCTTCCTTCTCTAGCCTCTAGCAGCCGCCCACGCCCGCCCACGAACAAAAGGAGTTAACTCTGGGCTTAACTTCTTGAAAGAAACTGAAGCTTTTATTCCTTGTTCCTTTCCCCTCCCTTTCTTTGCAAAGCCTTTCTGATCTTTACTCCTCCTGCAAGTCCCTCCCCCTTACTCTCACCTCCTGGACTCCCCAGACACTCTGATTGCCAGGGTGGGTCAATGGTTAACACTCACCTAGCTTTATATAAGGCTCCTGCTTGCCTGGGCCACCTACAGGCTGTGTCCATTCCCTGGCTCCCTCCTGGCTGGCTCCCAGTGGCGCTGCTGCCGCCAGCCTGCTGGTCCTCACTATGGCCACTTGCTGGCAGGGCCTGTGGGCCTATCGTTTCTACCTGTTTGTGCTCTTACTGCCCGTTGTCCTGCTGCCTCTTCCCATCCTCGTCCCCACCAAGGTAAGGACTTGGGGTTCTGGCACAAACAAGCCCTAGGAAGGCAGAGGAGAGAAACATCTGGGTCAGAGTCTGGCACCCTTAAGACCCAGCATAATCTCCTCATCCCTCCCACCTTAGAGGTGAGGCTCTAACCACTTGATCCTCCTGAAAGCTAAGGGTTAAGAGGTCAAAGGGGGCTCCTGCTTGGCACCAAGTGCCAATGTGAATTGCATGAGTGCACTTGAAAATCTACTGCCTTGGGAAGCAGGAAGCCAGTGCTGTCAAGGAGATGTAGAAGGGGGCACATGGGTATTGAGCTGCCCACTATGTGCCCACTCCTCGGAAAGAAGGCTGGGCAGTATACTTCCGTAGTAATACCGCCTCGGAAACCCAAGGAGGGGTCGCTATGAGTCAGATCCAACTCGACGGCACATAACAACAACAACTATGTGCCCAGAACTAGACTGGACTCAGTGCAGGATGGCGGGTTGGGGGTGGGGGATTTTGGCTGTGGGTTTAGAGGAGAGACAGTTTGGAGACAGATGAAGGGGAGTAGGAGGAAGTGGCTTCAGGTAGTTTGTGCCTTTAAGAAAGTAAACAGAAAAGGAAGGAGCTCACCTGTGATCCTACGGGCTAAGTCTGCTGAGGAGGAGGGGTGGGAACTGGAAGAAGGGACCTCTGCCAGCGGGCACCACAGAGGCTTGTGCCCTGGGCATGGGGGAGCAGAGAACAGCCAGTCATCATTGCCTCCCACCCCTCAGCAGCAGGAGTCAGGACTACAGCTCCCATTCATTTGAGCCACCAGCCAGCACTGCCACCGCAGCCACCCACCGCATGTTCTGCCCTGAGCACTCAGTAACCCTTTCCCCACATTGGGAAGCAGGTCCTGACTATGGTAATTTGCAGATGGGGAAAGTGAAGTTAAGCCACTTACCCGAGGTCTAGAGGGTACAGCCTGGTTTTGTGGAGCTTGAATATGATACAATGTAGGAAAAAACACAAAATGATGGATTTAAAATTCACACTGGGCTTTGGGAAGGGTCCAACCAGACAAAGGGCCTTGAAGCTCAAGCTTCATATTAAGTGTGCCTCTCTGGCAAGTCACTCAGCTGGGAAGGGGCTGAGCTGGGGATGTGGCCCGGCTCCAAATCACGGCCAGTGCCTCTCTCCATCCAGCTGTCTCCTAAAGGCTGAAGCAACCCTGGCCCTGGCACCACCCACACCCTAGAACAGCCCATGGACCCATGTTCCTCCTTTTGCCACAGATGGGGAAGTCATTTTTGTTCATGGTGTCCCCAAAAATTGAGGAGTTGGAGAGGCAGTAGCACAGCCCCTGAACCCCCAACACCTAGATGAGTAACAAGGCCTGGCTAGCCCCTGAGATGACCCTTGTCATAAGCCAAAGCCAAGGGCTTCTTTCTGTTGGGGACCCCATCCCATGAGTTTTTTCAGACAGACTGGGGCAAGTGTGTTACCTCAGGAGGGAAGTCAGACAGGAGCTGTATATGATGATCCTTCAGGAATGCATAGCCCAGAAAGATTCAATAATGTGCCCATTGTCGCACAGGCAGAGCCAGTTCAAGAAGCCAGGCTTCTGGCCCTACTGCCTGCCTCAGGCCACAGACACTGTCTCCACCATCCTGACTCACAGAACTGTCTTCAGCCCTGTCTATGAGAAGCCAATCCCTCCACTGCGGCCTGGAGACCAGCAGCCCCACTCAAGGACTTTGCTCCTATAATTATCTTCTCTGTCTTGCATCATCAATTTTTCCCTCTCTGTCTGATCCCTCCCATCAGCACATGTTGTTGTTGTTGTTGTGCACTGCCGTGGAGTCGGACCTGACTCATAGTGACCCCTCCTTGGGTTTTTGAGGCAATATCACTATAGAAGTAGATTGCTCAACCTTCCTTTTGAGGAGTGGCTGGTGGGTTTGCTTAATATCCTCCATCTAAAAAAAAAAAAAAAAAAAGCTTCCTTTGATCCCACACTGACCTCCAGATACTGCCTCCTTTCTCTGTTCACTCCCACAACAGGAGGCCTCAAACACATTGTCTACACTGCATACCCACTTTCTCTCCAGTGCTCAAGATGACAAGATGACTCGTCACCATCACCTCTCATGCTACCGCACCCCATGGTCAGTCCTTACTTTCTTCAACCCCCCAACAGCATCAGTCACAGCCAATCATCCCCTCTTTGCAACACTTCTTTGCAAATAAGTCTTTGCAATACTCTTCACAATGGTCTTGTCTTGGCTTTGGGGACACCTTCTCCTGGTTTCCCCCACCTCAAACTCCTTGCCCGGCTCCTTCTGAATGCTGAAGTTTTCGAAGGTGCATCCTGCCTCCCCTCCCTTGTCCTCACTCTCCCCATGCTGTTGCTGTTGTTGGGTACCATCAAGTCAATTCTGACTTATGATGATCTATGTATGCAGAGTAGAACTACTCCATAAGGTTTTTAAGGCTGTGGCTTTTTGGAAGCAGATTACCTGGCTAACCTTTCAGCTTTTGAAACACTTAACTGTTTGCACCACCCAAGCACCTCTTTCTCACTCTCCACATGGCTTTAAAAAGCATCTCTCTACTGATTATTCTTTAATCTGTAGCCCTAGCCCTAGAACTAAACTTATATTATCAACCAACACTGGACATCTCCACTTGAACATCTTACTTGTAAGCAGCACACACTTTTGCACATCCAAAATAAGCCCTTGACCCCCTCATCTTCTCCAGTTGGCTCTGCCTGCAACCTTACTACTTAAGAAATAGTGCAACTATCCACCTAGTTGCATTAACCCAAACTGCTGAGTCCTCCCTTTCAACCATTTCCACACTCATCAGCAGCTCGTGTTCAATCCATATGCAAAAACACTCTGAACAAGATCACTTCCCACCATCTCCACTGCTCTGCCCTGATCCAAGCCACCAGGATTTCTCAGCTTCCATTCCCCATCCCTCTCTGTTCTCCACACAGCCACCAGTATGATCTTTTCAAAACATGAATAAGATCATGTCACTCCCTCACTTTGCATCCTGCATTGGTTTCCCATCAAACTTAGAATAAAATCCAAACTCTAGAGTGGCCATGAGTTCTGAGGCTCTGCCACTCTCAGACTCCATCTCCTATAAAAACTAAAACCAAACCCATTGCCATCAAGTTAGACTCACGGTGACCCTGTATGTTACAGAGTAGAACTACTTCATAAGGTTTTCTTGGTTGTGGTTTGAACCCACCCAGAGAAACCTTAGAAATAAGCCCTGGCAGTCTGCTTCCCAAAGGTCACAGCCTTAAAAACCCTATGCAGCAGTTCTAGTCTGCACACATGGGGTTACCATAAGATACAATCAACTTTACAGCAACTAACAACAATCTTTATGGAGGTAGATCATGAGGCCGCTAGGTGGGTTCAAACCACCAACCTTTGTGTTAGTAGTCAAGTGCAAACTGTTTGTTCTACACAATCACCTTTCATCCCCTATATCTTACCTCCTGCTTTCTCTCCTCCAGTCCCATCAGCTTTCCTTCTGCTCCTCAGCTCATCCCCTTGCCTAAAATGTTCTTTTCCCAGATGCTTCCTTCTCATTTTTTAGGGCTCAACTTAAATCCACCATCTCAGAAAAGCCTTCTTAAACCTCTTCCAGTCAGTCACTCTTTACCATATAACTCTGTTACTTTATCTATAAGGCTTTTACTATCTGAAAATATGTGTTTGTTTATTTTCTATGTATTCTCTGACTCCCTACACTAGAATATAGGCTCCATGAAAACAAGGACTTTGTCTTGTTCTATGTTGAATCCTCAGTGCCTGACACATAGTAGGTACTCAAAAAATATTTGCTGAATGAATGAAAGAGGACCTTGTCCTTAATTCCTGCTAAGTATCTGCTCTCTGCAGTGAAGCCCAAGTTTAGTTCCATGCCCCTGGCCCCTAAAGGTTGAGATGGACTTCAGATTACGCTCAGATCTGTGTTCATAATAATAATACTTGTCATTTATAATCCTCACAATAACCTCCATTGCACAGACATGAAAACCGAGGCCCAGAGTGGTAGAGTAATTTGCCTAAGCTTCCAGCTAGAATAAGGCAAACTCTAGACCCAGGGTTTGGGGTTTCTGCTTGATATGTCCAGGGAGGCAGGGTGGTACCCCATTGTAACCCATCTCTTGAGCCAGCCACCCTCACATCCATCCAGCCATCAGTCAATCAAACCTTCAACAAATCCGTCAGTCAAAAAGGTCTGCTGAGATCTTGCTCTATGCCACCGGGGCCTACAGAAAAGGAATGTGGACATTATGTTCTCAGGTTGCTTACAGTCTTGAGGAGGAGACAGGTATTTATGCCAAAAACAGTTGTCAAGCCCGAAGGCTACTGGAGCTCAAAGGAGGGAACAACTTCTTCCAGCTGAGTCCAGGGAAGAGTCCAGAGCTGGTGGCATTTGTGTCGGGCCTGGAAGCCTGGCATCAACAGAGGACAGTTCAGGGGAAGGGAACCATGAGAGCAAAGATTTGTTGTTATTGTTGTTATGTGCTGTCGAGTCGGACCCAACTCATAGCGATCCCTCCTTGGGTTTCTGAGACAGTATCACTACGGAAGTAGATTGCCCCATCTTCCTTTTCAGGAGTGGCTGGTGGGTTTGAACCGTCAGCCCTCTGGTTAGCAGCCAAGAGCCTTAGGCACTATGCTACCAGAGCTCCTAGATATATTGGTAGACAGGCTGAATTATCCGGTACATCTAGGCAAAAGGGAATATGTCCATGACCATATAAAAGTTGGCAGATGATATTTCTACATATGTTTTTGTATGTGTTATAAGAATGTCCATAAAAATAGAACCAACGGCATCAAAATTATGTAACTTCTTAGCCATAGCCAACCACTCAGTGGGCTTGGGACCATTGTCCCAGGAGACATCAAGCTCAATTGGCATAATATACTACACAAAAACATTGTTCTAAATCCTTCTTTGGTGAGTAGTGATAGGGGTCTTAAAAGCTTCAAGCGGCCATCTAGATGTAACAA